GCGGCCTACCTGCCAGGCTGATCAATTCAGTTGTATCTCTGGGACTATGACATGTATTCCCAGTGGCGTACGCAGAAGGGGGGGGGGGGGGGTTAACATTTTGAAATCGGGCCAAAAATTTTGCAACGACTCAGCCAGCCGCTGAATTAGCGGGGGGGGGGGGAGAGGACATATATATATATATATTTTGGTCCCTAAAATTGTCCCAAAAAAAAGTAGTAGTAGTAGTAATAGTAGTAGTAGTAGTAGTAGAAGTAGTAATAGTAGCAGCAGTAGAAGTGGTAGTAGTAGTAGTAGTAGTAGTAGTAGTAGTGGTAAAATTAGTAGTAGTAGTAGTAGTAGTAGTAGTAGTAGTAGTAGTAGTAATAGTAGTAGTAGTAGTAGTAGTAGTAGTAGTAGCAGCAGTAGAAGTGGTAGTAGTAGTAGTAGTAGTAGTATTAGTAGTAGTAGTAGTAGTGGTAAAATTAGTAGTAGTAGTAGTAGTAGTAGTAGTGGTAAAATTAGTAGTAGTAGTACTTTATTTCACTGATAATGCATCTTCTTTATGATATATTCATAGGTCATGGGCAAACGGACTTGGACCCACAGGTGATCCTCTCTTGTAACTATGAGAATGAAACGGATCCGTTCTGTGGCTTCACGCAAGATACCCTCGATGACTTTGACTGGACCAGACAGGCTGGTACCACGTCTACAGAAAATACAGGACCGAGTAACGACCATACCTATGGTTCGACAGAAGGTACGTATATGCAGCTCCAGACAGAAATAACCGTCTGGTATATATGGAGTTATTTAATAAAACTGATATTTGTCAACCTTCCCCATACACATAGAGGCGGGAGCAACAAAAAAAAAAAAAAAATTGTGCTCACTACCCACCCCCCCCCCCCCCCTCCCCCACTGAGCGACTTTTCGGCCGGCGCGATTTTCAAATTTTCGGGAGGAAAAAAAAAAGTTGGGCCCCTTCCCCTAAGAAATTCTGGATCCGCGCCAGACTCAGTGTGCTATCATCATGAACAAATCACTGATACGACTCCTTGCTCCTTCCAGGTTACTACATTTACACCGAATCGTCCCTTCCGCAGACCCATGGTCACGTGGCCCGACTCGTCTCTCCCATGATGCAGCCGTCGACCACGCCCATCTGTTTCGCGTTCTTCTACCAGATGAACGGGGAGGACATCGGTAAGCTACGGGTACTCCTCCAGACCGCCAACGGGACGGATGACCCGACACTGCTCAAGCAATGGAGTGGTCATCAAGATGATAAGTGGTTGAAGTCGGGGATCACCATCCAACCCCAAAGTGAAGATTATCAGGTAAAATTAGGGATAACGCTAAGGCTTGTACACTGCAAAACAAGGGTGTTAAATGTAACACCATGGGTGTTAATTTTAACACCATCCCGGTATCTATATCGGAAAACACAAGCTGGTGTTATTTAACACCAGGGTTTGGAATTAAACAATTTAATTCCACTCTTGGTGTTGAAGTAATTCCGCCTTTGGTCTTAAAATCTAACACCATTATTTCAACTTGGTGTTAAAGTTCAATTCTAGTTTTGGTGTTAAAAAATCCAACACCATTGCTTTCAATACCAGTGGTGTGTAGAATTTAATCCTGTTTATTTTGTTAAAATCAATACCAATGATTTAACACTCAATTCAAAGAATCCTGCGATGTCTGTTGGATTCAGTGGTAACAATTTTCTAACTTTTCTGTCTGGAGAACAAATTTACACACTTAACGGCATGATTGCGCTGATGAAATAGGATAATAGGATAATAATAATAATAATAATGCCAAAGGATATTAGTGCCGTGTCGGGATTCGAACCCTCGACCTTTGCATCTCCAAGTCAAGCGCCTTAAACCACTCGACCACGACACTTGATTAAAATTCTATAACCACGATATCCCGAAGAGATTCTTGACAGCTAACATGCGCATGCGCATGCACGATAGGACGTCATATCATATGACAACTGTCGTCCAATGATTTTGCTCGAATCTACTAACTTATGCGCATGCGCAGTTCAACACCATCACACCAAGACTCAGAACATCAACCTGTAATTAAATATTTTGACACTCTGTTGGTGTTGAACGGACGTGAACGGACGTGAAATTAACACCAAGGTTGTTTTTTTTCTATTCCGCGCTGGTGTTAGAAATTTAACACCCTGGTTTTTGCAGTGTAGTATTTACAATCGTAATAATTATGAAATTGGTTATTTAAGAATTTATCTTTGTTTTTTGTCAGATCATTCTTGAGAGTGAGGTTGGTGGGAGCTACAGAGGTGATGTTGCAATTGACGATATAATGATTCTTGATAAATTCTGCCCTTTAGGTAAGTATGTCATTCATTGAATGAAAACCGACTCCCCCCTAAATAAAACTAAATACATGTAGATGAATAAATAAATGAATAAATTAATAAATACAGATTTATTTTTGTCCCATGTTACTCCAACGTTATCATTATACCTTGCTGCATTTGTTAAAAGTTTGAAGTTTATTTGCTTCATATTTACATCAAAAGCACTTAATATCCATACATAGTGTGGTACGGTATGTCACTGAAACAGCTCCCGTAGGATTTTTGTTCCAAAGTTGATTTTTCTTGCTGTTTTGGCTTCAAAAGGGTCCCAATTGACCAAAAATGATGGGGTCCAAATTTTCAGACCCCTCCTTTATTTCCTGGGGGGGGGGGGGGGGGTCATAGACCGGGAGCCAGTGGGGGTCAACCTATCTGGGAAGGAAACCAGTTTTAATGTGCACAGATGTAAAGATCGCATAGCTCCACGTAACAAATTGACCATCTGGCATGTTCTAAGTGGTGGGTGTGGCCAGGGGGACGCCCCCACCAAAAAGTGTCCCTTTTGACGACAAAAAAGTATTATGTAAATCATATTTTGAGGAAACCTTAAACCACCATGAGTTTGGTGCCATATGAAAGAGAGTTAAATTATCTACATTTTGATACCAATTTCAAAGAATTTGGGATTAATTAACATCGCAAATTTAAGTAAAGAACATGATTTTTGTGATTTTTTTCGAAAATTTTAATTTTATCAAAAAACATTATTTTCCATATATCAAAAATGGAGAATTGCATTTTTTCATTACTTTCCAGGAATTTGCTTATGTACAACGATAATATCCTGTGCGAGGGAGAGGTTTATATATTGTTTCAATAAAAGTTATAGCAATCCAAAGTTATCGATTTGATTTCCACAAAAACAACATTTTTGCCCACATGTAATAACTCGTTGCATATACGTGCATTAGTGTATTAAGGACCTGTGTGGTGTGTTTACATCAAGTTTTAAAGATAACTTTGAACTAAAACCTCTAATCACCATGTATTTGGTGTCAAAAGATGGATAATTGAAATACCTTCATTCTGATATCAATTTCAATGAGTGATGTAGTGTGTAAAATTTAAATTTTGAGCCAAAAAGGTGCTTTGTAGATATTCCTCTGGTTTTTGCCAGAATATATCGGTATATTAACTGGACAAACGTGATTAGACATTGAGTAGTGCAGAAAGTTCAACAGTTTGGGATTGGGGGAGGGGGCAAACATTCCAGGGAGCTCACCTTTCAGGGGCAGTGGCGTAATGAGCAAAATCGTTTTTTGGGGGCAGAAGAAAAATCTGCACCACCACCACTCTTACACGTTACATGCCGGCCCCGCGGAGCTATGCCAGTCAACTTATTATTCAATTATGAAAATGCACATTTACTGTTAGAAGGAGTACGTGAAGCAAATATCTGATCAAGATTCCAACGAGGTGTCATCATAGTCGAGTGGTCTATCTCACTCCCCTGGGAATGCAAGGGACGTGGGTTCGATCACCGGCACGGAACTTGTGTCCCAATTTGAACAAGGCATTTTATTTATATACATTGCTCCTCTCCACCCAGGTGTTTAAATGGGTACCCGGAATGTGAACGTCGGTGTCGTTGGATTAGTATGCGCGCGCATGCGAAAGGGCGACATGTTATTCAATTCAATTCATTTATTTTTCCTTTTTCAATCGTTCATATTTACAATGATGGAACATTTTAACATATTCACATATTTATATACATATAGATCAATTTGCACAATACAATGCATTAAACAAATAAACATGAAATTGAAAGGGAAGGACTAAAAAGCAGAGCTTGTAGGGTGTAAGCCCCCCTGTAAAAGTAATTATTCTGAATTATTATTTTATGAGAACAAAAAAAACAACAATAAAATTAACTGATTCAGTAATACAAAAAAAAAATCACTTTTAAACGCAAAACATTGATAAATACATACATGTTTATAAAAACAAACAATCAAAGTTGCATAAAGTCACACTATAAATTATATTTGATTGGGGAATGCAAAAACCTAGTAACTATTCAGAAGAAAGCTTTTAAGTCTCCTTTTGGAAATTTGTATCGAATTACACTGTATAATATAATTTGAAAGAGAATTCCAAAGTTTTGGACATGTAAAAAAACAATGTCTTTTGCGCAAAAGATGTTCTATTTAATGGTAGATGAAAAAGCTCGCCTGGCGAGTGAGGTAACTAAGAATCAAATCATTTCTTACGAACATATTATTAAAAGGCAAAGGTAATTGTTTAGTGTCCAAGCTGAAAATACACAAGTCTTTAATTTTCAAAATGGTATTATTCAGAAAAAGATTATGTTAGAATGCTCCATGGAGAGTGTGCACTGTTCAGCATTGTAACATAATCCAGTGATGGGGTATTAACGTTGTAACTGATAAACACTTCATGAGAAACAGTTACCATTATTACAAAGAAATATCACTAGCACGATCATTCTCTATTTTGTTGATCAAAACATTGCATTGCGTTATATAAACAGTTTAGACTAATATCAATGCATAAGCCAATTTCTCGGGTAATCAATTAAACAGAACAGTATTTTAGCTATCATATCCATTTCATTTAAATTGTGATCAATTGGTTTTATTTTGCTTGCAGTGGATGATACGGTTGATGAGACGGTTGATGAAACGATTGATGAGCAGCGGCCCACATGCACACCTGATCAATTCACTTGTCTGTCAGGGGCTATCGCATGTATACCCGTTGGATGGCGGTGTGACGGTCTCCCAGAATGTGACGATCAGAGCGACGAATTGGAATGTAGGTTTACTATTTTCATCCATAGAGCTTGGTCCAATGGTAGCCCTGAAGGGACATCGCAAATAGACCAAATAGCGAATTATTCACGACGAAATTGGCGACGTCGTGAATTTTATCGCCAATTTTTCGCGATTTAGTCTATTCGCGATGTCCCTTCTTGGCCACCATGGCTGCCTTAAAATAGTGTGATGCGAATTTAGTTTACTTTATATTCACTAAAATATTTTGATGAATATTCAACAAGATTTATCACGAAAATAATAGCTATCAAACAAACAAGTTGGAGCTAGCTCAATAGGCAATGACCTCCTTGAAGCGCTTACAAACATGACGTAATCGTTTCATATGATCGTGATGCGGATCAAAGGGTGGGTTGGACAGGGGGGATTGTTAATCTTGTGATTATATGTTTGTCATCATTATAACATTTCTGATTTACACCCGACAATGTTGTATGCAGGGGGAGCCTTCGGCGTGTTTGGTGGGAATCTCGTTGTCGCTGTTGTTGTCGTTGCCGTTGTCGTTGTTGGTCAGGTCTGACCAAGCCCTAAACTTGTTATTACAAAACAATATTTATTATCAACTACTCGGCATTCTGTAACATTAGCATTTATACATGGGAATTTACATGAGCCTAGTTTTAAAAACTTGTATCCTTGTACCTTACAATATGAAAATCTCAATTACCAGGAATTGTATCAAGGTGTTTGACATCCACAGACGTTGTATGTTCCACTTAATTGTTAATGCAACTCTCTCTCTCTCTCTCTCTCTCTCTCTCTCTCTCTTTCAATTTTTGGTGTTGGTCATCCGCTTTCCATTATGCATTGCTTACATAATGTTACCATGATATTTTAGAAATTCATCAGCTCGTGATGATGTATATGGAAAATATATTAACATGAATCAACCATCAATTGTGATTTGAAATTTTAAAATTCCCAATTCGTGGACGGTGCGCTTATAATATTTTTAAATTTTCCGTGATTTTCGTTAAAAAGCGGTTCTTCTAGAGATGCGCCATATTCTTTTGATTCAAGTGCACAACTACATTACCGTGAATTTCTTTTCAATTGTAGACTAATCTGCGATTTTGTTTGTAGGTGCTGACCAGCGGCCTAGCTGCCAGGCTGATCAATTCAGGTGTATCTCTGGGACTATGCCATGTATCCCGATTGATTTGCTGTGCAATGGTCGACCAGAATGTTCGGATGGGAGTGACGAGTTAGAATGTGGTATGTACTTCATAACTTCTAACCCTTGCTTCAACTTTACAGCTCTATTTTTACACAGTAATTCAGCTAAGCTATAACATTTCATGTGCAATAACAAGAAATAGACCAACGCTGTTAAACACCAAAACAAGAACATCCTACAAAAATTATTTCGCACGCAGGAATTATATAAACCTCAGGAATACTTATTCATGACGGACAACGTTTTATGTTCCTCCTCTCGATGCTTGTTAGATATTCTGTTTGTTGGTTTCTCTGTTTTGTATTTAATGGTATTCTAGAGGTTAACAATCTGCGGTGGATATATCACCGGACTGTTGAGTCCGGCCGCGGCGATAATTTCCTTTGGCAAGGCATTGATCTACATTCGCCACACTCAACGCAGGTGATGTAAATGGGTACCTGGCAGGAATTAATTCCGTGAAATGCTAGAGCGCCGTATGGTAGCCGTGCTAAAGCGAGGGTAATAATCAGGAGCGCCAGGAGTGGCACGTATGACAGACATGAGCGCTATACAATAACCCACTATTATTATTATAATTAGTATTGTTATTATTATTATTATTATCATTATTATAATATAAGTTCAAACTACACGATCTCTCTTTCGGGGCAAATTAGAAACATTTCTATACGAAAACTTAGGGCAGAAGTAATCTGAATTTGTCCGAGCCCAGCAAACACGCGACGGTCCCTTCACGTCCTCCAAGCGTCTTTACAGGATGTTCAAATGTTTCGAGATAGCGCATAGCAGGCGCGGATCCAGGATTTTCCAAAGGGGGGCCGGAAGTTTGAAAATTGCGCCGACCGTTTTTTTCAAGGTCATATAAGAAGCATCATACCATTACAATTTTTTGACATTTTCATCGGGGGGGGGGCTATAGCCTCTTATCCGAAAAAGTAACTTTCTGGTTTCACAATTCGGCTAGCGAGCGAAGCGAGCGAGCAACAATTTGAGCAAAATATGTATTTTGTGAAAGTGTTATTTATAACCAAAATAAACGAGAAAAGATATCAAAAAATCATATGCGGGTAGCTCGCTAACCCCCCCCCCCCCATGACGCGCGAAGCGCGGAAGCTTTGACCTTTCATTAATTATTAGAGAAAGAAGACGATTTGTTGTACCATTCTCGACTCTTAATCCTTCTCTGAATTCAGTTTTCCCCTCCCGCGCAAAGCGCGGAAGCTTTGACATTTTATAGTTTTAATGAAATTATTAGAGAAAAAGATGATTCGTTGTTCCATTCTCGACTCTTAATCCTTGTCTGAATTCAGTTCCCCCCCCCCCCCCCTCCCGCGCGAAGCGCGGAATCTTAGACGTTTCATTAAATTATTAGAGAAAGAAGACGATTCGTTGTACCATTCTCGACTCTTAATCCTTGGGTGTATTCAGTTTCCTCCTGCCCGCGCAAAGCGCGGAAGCTTTGCCCTTTCATTAATTATTATAGAAAGAAGATTTGTTGCACCATTCTCGACTCTTATTACTTGACTGAATTCACCCCCCCCCCCCTCCCGCGCGAAGCACGGAAGCTTTGGCCTTTCATAGTTTAATGAAATTATTAGAGAAAGAAGATGATTCGTTGTACCGTCATCGACTCTTAATCCTTGTCTGAATTAAGTTCCCGCTCCCCCCCCCCCCCCTCCCACGCGTAGCGCTGAAGCTTTGACGTTTAATTAATTATAAGGAATAGGAGACGATTCTTTGTACCATTCTCGACTCTTAATCCTTGTCTGAATTGAGTTCCCGTCCCCCCCCCCCCCACCTCCCGCGCGTAGCGCGGAAGCTTTGACGTTTAATTAAATTATAAGGAAAAGGGGACGATTCTTTGTACCATTCTCGACTCTTAATCATTGTCTGAATTGAGTTCCCGCCCCCCCCCCCCCCCCTCCCGCGCGTAGCGCGGAAGCTTTGACGTTTAATTAAATTATAAGGAAAGGGGACGATTCTTTGTACCATTCTCGACTCTTAATCATTGTCTGAATTGAGTTCCCGCCCCCCCCCCCACTCCTCCCGCGCGAAGCGCGGAAACGTTGACGTTTCATTAAGTATTACAGAAAGAAGATGATTCGTTGTACCGTCATCGACTCTTTATCATTGTCTGAATTAAGTTTTCCCTTGGCCGCGCATAGCGCGTAAGCTTTGACGGTTTATTAAATTATTAGAGGAAGAAGAGGATCATTTTATCATTCTCGACTCTTAATCCTTATCTGAATTAAGTTTTCCCTTGCCCGCGCGTAGCGCGTAAGCTTTGACCGTTTATTAAATTATTATCCTTCTTTGAATTCAGTTTTTCCCCTCCCACGTGAAGCGCTGAAACGTTGACGTTTCATTAAATTATTAGAGAAAGAAGATGATTCGTTGCACCGTCATCGACTCTTTTTCCTTATCTGAATTGAGTTTCCCCCCCCCCCCCCATTCTCGCGCGAAGCACGGAAGCTTTGACGTTTCATTAGATTATTAGAGAAAGAAGACGATTCGTTGTACCGTTCTCGACTCTTAATCCTTGTCTAAATTGAGTTCCCGCCCCCCCCCCCCCCTCCCGAGCGAAGCGCGGAAACGTTGACGTTTCATTAAATTATTTGAGAAAGAAGATGATTCGTTTTACCATTCTCGACTCCCAATCCTTGTCTGAATTCAGTTGCCCCCCTCCCGAGCGATGCGCGGAAGCTTTGACATTTCATTAAATTATTGGAGAAAGAAGACGATTCGTTGTACCGTTCTCTATTACACCTACCATGGATAAATCACGGCCGGGAGCGTCATAATTTTTGTGTTATCGGGCGAGGGCCGGGGCCGGGGCGTAGCGACCAAGCGAGATTTTGCAATGTTGAATGCTGAAATTATGCATTCTAAAAAATCCCTAAGCCCGATATGTACGTTCTTTCCGCTATATTTATTTCTAGCTATATTTCTAAATTTCCTGGAGACTTGTCCCCATATCGGGCCCAGGATCGCCGCCCCTGTCCATGATTACTACCAACATGAGTTCTAATACAATCACAAGCGAGTCGATACGAGCTGGATCCAAATGAAGGGCAAAATAAGAGTTGTGAAGCGGCCCTACCGTTAATTTAAAATTTGACTGTTGAGTATATAACTTCTATTTAAAAGACATCCAAAATATTGTGCCCTTTTCAAATTTCTCACTAAAGAGTGATGACCGCAGGGGCTGTTCTTAACGTTTAACTTTGAATCCGCGGCTCGAGATTTTAGGCGGCCGGCCCGGCCCCCCTCTATTCAATAACGTTTGCCAATGAGCCTTCTGGAATGTCCCCTAATCTCCCGATTACAGTTTTCCCATATTTGTCGTTACTGTCACTTAGCGCCATTTCCTTGTCTTTGCCCCTTTCTCACCCTACTTTTCTCTCCCCCCCCCCCACTCAGTGTTATCTAGGGTACGCACATTTATGTTCCCTCTCTTTGAAAGCACCCCTCTGTCTCCGGTGTGTAAAGTCAGTACGGGCCGGATTTTTGTGTATTGCGGGCCGGACTTTGTTTCGTGAAAAGTAACTCTTTATCGGAAATTTAGGGAACACAAATTCGGTCCCTCTCTTCTATTTTCTTTTCTCTTCTTTTTTCCTTTCTCTTCTCCTTTCTTTTCTCTTCTCCTTTTTTTTTCTCCTCTTCTCCTTTCTTTTTTTCTCTTCTTTTCTTCCTCTTTTTTTTTCTTCCTTTTTTTTGCGCCGCCAATAGGGGGGGGGGGGCCGCGGCCGTTTCGGGCCCCCCCTGGATCTGCCACTGCATAGGCGTCACAAGAAGGTTTCGTGTTTCGCAGGAATTTCCCGGAACAGTGTTGTAGCTATAAGGGGACACGGGGTAGGGGTACGTGCAAAAGGAGAAAAGGGGAAATGGAATAAAATGGAGAAAACGAGAGAATAATAAAGGGAGAAAGGAAAAAAGACGAAAAAGATGTCGATATGATATCCCCCTGCATATTTCTAATCCAGTATAATGGGTTGCATTGAACCAAAACAAAACAACAAACATTTTGTTCGTGTAAGACAGGTGCCTAGTTGATGTGAGCACCGACATTGTTAGTCATGTAAAGCCTGAGATATAGCAAGCGCCTTGAGCACCTTGCATAGCTGATATTCAATTCAATTCAAATTTATTGGTCCAAAAGGAAATTTGCGTTAACATGCATTATTCACAGAGAAAAATAAATAAAATCTACATGTGACATGATACATAAGTACAACATAAATCGAGTATATATAGAGAGAATAAACATAAACCACTTCAACATTCATATCATATCGATATTTTATCTGAATTTATAAGCCCTATATTATATAATAATATATAATACATGTTACTATGCAGTGTAATGATCGTATATTAAGTTGATGGACAGTACTAATAATAATGTTTTTGGATGCCCAAAACAGAACATTTATACACATGTTAATTCGATATAGGCCCACATAGGTAAAACTCATGCATGGCTGTATCCGAAATAATAACCATCAGAAAATACACTCTTTTTCTTCTTTTTTTCTGAAAACTTATGATTACAATGATATATATTTGTTTAATGAATAGATGACGTTTGGCATTAAATCGATACAATAAGATGATGAGCTGTTGATTTAGCAGTCTGTTAGCTCTATCAATACTGCCCTCTTGTGACGGATGTTTGACTATGTTATGTTCCTGGGCAGGTTGGGAACGCCCATGAAATGATTTATTTCTACTTTCATAAGTAACATAATTTTGAAAACGTACCGATGATACAATTACAAAGTTAAAGATTGATTTATATCATGATCCTGTAGTTTGACTGTCAAAAAAGGGGTACAGGGCTGCCGAAATCCATCAGTTGAAACGATTTATCTCAAACTATTTTTGCCTATCTATCGAATGTATTTTCCTTCTTGCCATAATGAGCATGCATTTTGCCATTGGGTAATGCTATGGTCACATTACCCAAAAGTAGCCTGCTCGGCGGCCGAGCGGCGGGTTTTTAACCAATTCTGCCCGGCGGCTGCCCGGCCACCGA